GTTTCCCTAAGTTGGAAGGTAATATACTCTATTTAGAAAGCAAGAACAAAAAGTAGAAGTGTATGCATGAATATTTATTCTTGTTAACTTCTCTAAATATAGATTTAGGGAGCTTGCCTACAATTTAATTATCCCCACTTTCTTCTCATACACATTTCCCATTAATAATGCTTGATACCTTAAAAAGCAACCTGATAATGTGTCACATTGAAAATTATAGATTGGACACCCAAAGACTGATTTTCTGAATATTTGTTTCTCTCAGAGCACACATTCAGCTTGTGTTCACCAAATACAGAAGACTAGGCATGCAGTTACTGATATCGGACCCCTGTTTTCACTAATCATTGGAGGAGGAGTAAAAAAGAAGTAGCAGTTGATGCTAAGTTAGGCTAAATTTCTTCATCGTTCCTAGTTTTAATTCTCAAGCATTTTACTACTTCCATTTTGTTATTTGAAAACCTGCATGGAAGTGCCAATAAAGTTATTAGGAGTTGAGTTCAATTCAAGAGAGCCTAAGTTTATTTTTATTTTTGTATTGGTCCATATAAGGGCCTTGAGCTGATAGGACTGTAAAGATTACTAAGGGTTGTACCAAATGTGTTATGTGCAAGCTTTTCTATACTAACAAAATAATAATTTAACCCCCTGAAGACAGTGGTATCGACAGCAACCTGCCACGACATCAAATGACACATTAACATAGAAATGCCACCATTACATACTTGTTTCCCAACATCTGACTAAAATATGTAAGATGTGACATTTGCACAATAAAGTTATCGAACATGTTTGATCCTTGGTCCTTGCCATACTCAAGAGGAAACATTTGCCTACTGTAACATATGTATGATAACTTTATCTTATAGTTCAATATTTCATTGTAGTTTAATAATTATAGTTTCCTACAACTGATTGCACAGTGGGAACCTGTAGTTCCATTTCTCTTCATAAACCAGAATGTGATAACTTGGTCTCTTACCTCCTCTGATTTAAAAGTACAATTTCTGGTCTTCATGTAATGAGAAATTGATTTAAGAAATTACAAAAATGTTCTATTATAATTAGAAAACTAGATGCCCTTTATTTTAGAAAGTTGTCCTTTAGATTTATTTATTTTTCAGAAACTCACTTCTTTCCTTTATTTTGCTCATTTAACTTTTAGCATGCAAATTGTATCATTAAATTGTAAAAAATATGACATTTGAATTTTCTTTTTAAAATAAATTTACATACACTGCTTGATTTTAGATATTTTTAAGATACCTTTTTTAAAAGGTTTTCTTTGTTTTGCGTTACAAAAATAAACATTTTTTATCCTTATGAACCTCTTTCAAAGATGCCCCTTTTTCAAGTTTGTCCTTTATTTTTTCCAAGAAAATACGGTCACTGCAATTATAATGTGAGCAAGAAATAAAATATAAGGCTATTTTAGATCTAATAAACACCATACCTGGATTAATGTATCAAAAGAAGCTGTAAAATCATTTCTTGGGTTTAGCATGATATGCAAACCAGATATCACACATTTTCTGAAGTATTTATGCATATTCTTGGCCTTTGTTCATTGCTTTTGGGCTTGTCTGTAATTCTAGCAGGAATCAAAATTCAGCTTTATATTTACTGTGGACAGATTCATTAAGTACAAATGTTTTCCCCTTTTCACTATAACCGAGTCATCCATCTTTATCTCTATTATAGTGAGAAGAAAGAGGGATGCACTATAACAAATTACATAACAAATTACATAATTGCTGATACACATCTCAAGTAGGCATATTCTGCTTCCTTTTCCAAGAATTGGAAGATGGAGAGGGTTTTGATTGTATCAAATTAAAAGGTAACAGAGGCTGAGCCAGCAGTCTAAGAATAGTTGTGTAACTGTTTTGAGGGAAGGTCATATCACCTTATGTCTGCGCCCTTCATCTTTATTTCACTTTGTTCCTTGTTTCAACTTAGCCTCTGTTTTCACCATTATGCTTCTCTTACACAAAAATAAATCCTCTGATTCTTCCTTCTTCACTTCCTCCAAGAATCCTCTTTTGAACAACTTGGATTTTTTTCGTAAAAACTGCTTTAAGAAGTTCACGTAAAGCAAAAATTTGAGGTTATATTTCTTTTATATTTTACAGCACTGAAAACAGTTGGAAATCAACACTTTTTCTTTTTTGTCTTTCCACTTTTCTCTCTTTTATAATGAAACTTAATAACTAATTCCTCAACTGTCCTTCAGTTGAGGGAAACTTCAAAGACACTTTTGGAGAACACAGGCTTCCTCTCAAGAGGGAGATGGGGTATAGGATATATATATATATTTGTACATGTTCTATAAATCTATTTAAGACAAAAAATTGCTTTGCAATATTTGAGTTACTTTTTAGCTTCTGTTTTGTGTTTAGCGTATGTGCTAAATTTGAAATTGTTGTGTGCTTCTTTTATGAGACACTTCGCTGTAAATGAATCATTATTCTAGCCATTGTCTACCCACTGCAAGATGAAGGCCTCTTCTGCATGCTTCCAACCAATATGATCCTGAACTTTCTTTTTGCTAACTGGGCCTACAATACTTGCTTGTGATGGCCATGAATAGATTTGTGTTTTAGGTTATTAGAAGAAAGTATTTGCTACAAATATTGACATTTGTTGGCAGTGCTGTTAGTAGTTTATCTCTGCTTGATTTTTTACAACAGGACCAACTTTTCCTGTTATTCCAGATGTTATTTTACTTTCAGTGTTTACATTTATACCTTCTATAATTAATATTTTTGGAAGGGGGATGCTATCCCAAGATGTTGCATATCAGCATAGAACCACTTTCCTAATTAATAAGGAAATATTAATAATAATAATAAATGCTAGTTGGCCTTATAACATAGTATTTCATAGCCTAAAGCTCTTGTTTAGTATTTTAACCAGTCATATTCATTCAGTTAATTAACACTACTTGTTATTAATTTATATGTCTTGATTATTCTCTTTCACCCTTCTTATTTTCTTCCTAGAATCGCTCAGCCTTTATGGCCTTCAAGCATGTCCAATTTTGAGGGTTTCTCTCACTATCAAATGCCCTATTTTTTTTAATATTTTTTTTTCATTTTGATAAACTTGCAGATCCTACCCAAGTCTGCAAGCACTACTGTGAAGACATGATGTGATATTTGCTTACATAATGATTGTAATAGTAAAACTTAGTTAATTAACTGTATATTTAAAAATATATTTACTAAACTTCCAAGATTTGTGGTAGGAGTGTGATATATAAGCTGTAGACAGCAGGATAGGTTGAATAAAAAGAAAATGTACATGGGGTACAATGTTCTTTTTAGATAATTACACACATCAGTTCTGAATGCATTCTCTTTTATAACATTAGCTAATTTTCCCAAGATTTAATAGGCAAACCACCCCATTTTTAAACATTTCCTTTCAAAATGCAAATGGCATTGACAGTACATTCCTTAGGAAATGACAAACTGTCCTAAATATTTGTCTTCCTCGGTAAACAACTTAAAATAAATTCCCTCAGTATCTTTTAATTGTATGGCTGCTTAGGTTATCCTGTCATTTCATATGGACTCTAATCATCAGGCCAATTATTTGCGACAGTTTCATTCTGCTTAATTATTTTCAAAGAACATAATTATCCCCATCATGCATAGGGAAACATAAATATCATCATTAAGATTGGAACCCAACAATCGCTTTAGTAAAAGACGCTCAGTTCAATTAGTATTATTTATTTCTGCTGTGTTATTATAAAGAGCCCTTATTACCGAGAACATGCCCAGCATGGTCTGTGAAAGGTGCCTTTGGCCTGAACAGCAGGAATGGGTGTGCTAAAATCATGTGGGGTGGCACTATCTTTTCTTTTTCTAGAGTTTTCATACCATGCCCATACATGCACTTTTAGATGCCAGCTGCTATCATTTCCTGCAACTTCCTTACCAGCTGGGATTACATTTCTTTCAGACCAAAAAAGGGGGTGACAAATTGGTCTTTCTCATCACGTTGGGCATTGAGGTGCAAGAAGGGAAAAAAGAGAATCTTCTTTCTTCTTAGTCTACACAGTGTTGGATACAGTGTAGTCTACAGTGTAGTTGTCCCAAAGATGCTTTTTCACAAGGCAACTGGACTTTCTTGTTTTTCTTTGAAGACATTAGAGAGTCGATGGGGCCATTTGGGGCCATCAGAGAAAAACAAGAAAGTCCAGTTGCCTCCAGAAAAAAGCACCTTTGGGACAACCATACTTGGATGACTGAGAATCTCCATAGACATTTAGCTATGCACTTTGGGATGAACACCCTTTGAATGTTGTGACTCTCTAAAAGAATGCAAATGACCAGCTGTCTGCAAGCAATATAAATCCTTCCACTCTCACCATCTAGTCCAGGGGTGTCAAACTGCTGGCCTGTGGGCCGGTTTCATCATACCGGAGCCGCGCCCACCCCATTGCCGGCAATGGCAAAAAAGCTCCGATACGTCGCGCGACATCACGTGACATTGCAAGTTTGACATGTCTGATCTAGTCAGAGCTGAAGAAGCTTCTTGGATGAGAAGCGAAGCATCTTCAAAGAAAAACACGAAAGTCCAGTTGCCTCATGAAAAAGCATCTTTGAGACAACTGTGACCTGGATGATTGAGAATCTCCACAGACATCTACAGTGTAGTCTACACAGACTCAACATAATTCAAATTCCAGAAGGAAAGAACTTCCCTTGGGATGTTAATGGAGATCATATTTCCCTTCAAACAAAAATATGTAAGGGTTCAGTGTTTGCTAAAGCTCTTGAAAAAGGGCAAAGGTTGGTGGTTTACAGCAACATTCATCCATCTATCCATCCATCCATCCATCCATTCATCCATTCATTCATTTATTCATTCAATTTCTATAGCTGCTCAACTCAACCAAGTGACAGTGGTTGACAGGTGGCTAATTGATAGTAGCCTGAATACATTTCTCTGTGTTGATCTTTCTATCATTTGGATGATTTTCTTTGCAGATCTGTACCCCAGATTTGGTGGTGTTCTTGTCCTGCTCAAATCAACGGCTACAAGAACGCCTAATGAAACGTGCCGAACAGCAGGGGAGGCCGGATGATAATCTGAAAGCTACACAGAGACGCCTGACTAATTTCAAGCAGAATGCTGTTCCACTGGTCAAATATTTCCAGGAAAAGGATCTGATTGTGACTGTAAGTTTTTAAATCTGTATGTGTGATAAATTAAATTTCAGCTAGCAAAATTCAGGCAATGATGATCTGACCTCTCATGCTTTTGAGAATAACTATTTAAATCATTAAACGTTTTATTCATGTTTGATTGAGGACTCCTGCAGTCACACTAAGACTGAGAGGCCCCAGTGGCTATTTCATGCTCACTTGGATGTATAATTTATATAGCTGTTGCCTTTTTGATCAAAGCCCTTTCTGTTAGAGAAGAAATAATGTGTTATCTTACAACACCCATAAAAGTTCCTATCAGAGAATCGGGTAAGTCACTTGGTGAAAGAGAGATGCTTTATATCCAAAATTGTTCGGATGGAAATGGTCTGTGTCAATCCATTTTTGTGCTTGGGATCAGCAGAAGAAAAATTATGGCCAAATTTAGGGATGCTAAAAAAGCTAGCTCAATATTTCTCAACCTCAGCAGCTTTAAGATGCGTGGACTTCATTCATGCTTGCTGGAGAATTCTGGCAGCTGAGATCCACACATCTTAAAGCTGCTGCAGGCTGAGAAACACTGAGCTGTATGGAATATATTTTGAGCTGGACACTAATTTGGAATAAATACAGCCATTCTGATAATAATAAATTACAGGTGGTCCTCATTAGACGACTGCAGGAAGCAGTGAAAAAAATATTTTCATATATGGTCAGTCTTCACATTTATGACCCCCAGAGAGATCTGTAAAACAAGGGGAAAGCCGAAGTAAAATCAGAAGCACAGTCGTAGTTTCAATTAGCAACTGTTTCAATTTGTGACTGATTTACTGGTCCCAAATGTGATCGCTAAAATAAATAAAAACTGCCTGTATGTTGAATGTATAGTACATCTTATTTTCAGATTCTGCTTGGCATTGCAGAACTTTTATCCTGCAATTATAATACTGCCCAGAATTCAAAAGCAAAGAGTTAGCAAGTCTGGAAAAGATCATGTTTCATACTTGCTATACCACAAGATGAAGCATTGGAATGATATATTATTGTAAACAATAAATATATCCTTAGGTGTAGAACTGGAAATCAATCATAATGTTGAATCTGCTTGTTAAAAGAAAGGATTGTTATAAGATGAATTCTGTAGCTCTTTCAAATCAATGCTTCTTTATAAAAGAAACCAGACGTGCAAAGCAAGCAACTCAGTGAAATATTATAGGAGGACAGGCTGAAAGCAGCAAAAAATGATCTTTTGGCCAGAAAGAGATCTGTCAAAAGGCTGGAATATCTGTAGGAGTCTGCAGAAAGATTTCTTCAGTTCTGTGAAAAGGGGGAGGGAAACGATGTTCTGATTTCAAATTATATCCCAATTTTGCATTGCTTAGACAGTTCCATTAGTTAACAACAAACCAAACTCTTTTATTTCTTACTTTTCTTTGATAATTGCAGTTGGACCTAGGGAGAAATCCATCTAGCATGGATGGGTTCCTCAAGTTATTTCCAAATTACCTCTTCTCAGTATCTCTTAACAATTGGTCATATTGGTTGGGAATGCTGAGTTGCCCACAACAGTTAGAGGGCCACAACGGTGCTGGGGTTTTTTTCTCTCCCTGCAGATCAAAGAGCAAATTAGAAAGCAACTACATTTAAAAAAAAAAAATCTTGGCTTTAGACAAAAGGCTGGGTCCTCATCTGCCCTGGTCTAAGACTGAGCTAACAGCCTCAATGGATTTTACTTTGTTTTTGAGACCATACCAAAACAAACAAAACAAAATCCCCAAATATTACATTGGAAGAGACAGTGCATTTTTGAAAACATTTTATTGCACCAGTATTTAGTTATTGTATTGAAAAGTAGTTTTTCAAAAGCTCTGCTTTTGAACCCAAGCAGCAGAAGAGGCTCAGATATTCTCTAAATAATGCCTGCATCAAAAGTTCAGATACTAGACAAGATAATGTAGTATCACATAACACAGTTTGAAATTGTTGATTCTCTGGACATTTACATTTTATGGTGTATATACAGTTAAGCCTCGACTTACGACCTCAATTGAATCCAAAATTTATGTTGCTAAGTGAGACATTTGTTAAGTGAATTTTGCCACTTTTTTACAATCTTTCTTGCCATAGTTGTTAAGTGAATCACTGCAGTTGTTAAGATAGTAATGTGATTATTAAGTGAATCTGGCTTCGCTAATGACTTTGCTTGTCAGGAGGTCGCAAAAGATGTTCACATGACACCGGGATACTGCAACTGTCATAAATATCAGTTGCCAAGCATACAAATTTTTATCACAGGACCATGGAAAGGGTGCAATGGTTGTAAGTCTGAAAAATGGTTGTAAGTCACTTTTTTCAGTGACCGTTGAACGGTCATTAAATGAACTGTTGTAAGTCGAGGAATACCTGTAATCCTCATTGTTATAGTCACCGACCAGCATTTGTACAATTGTTATAAAAAGTTACAAAGTTCAAATGAAAACGCAGAAGCATTACTAAAATCAATAGAAAGAATAATAAATTATTCATAATGGTGCTATAAATAGAATCTTAATTTTAAAACTATTAATTTAAACAAATAGTAAATACAGCAAGATTATAAAACTGCTACAAAATTCTTAAAAACTTGCTTACTAACTGTTAAATTGCTCAGCATATATGCAAACACAAATACAAACTTACTGGGATGAATGACTGGTGAGGTGTAAACTAAATTAGTATATATTTGACGGATCCTAAAGATCAGGGGTGTCAAACTGCCGGCCCACGGGCCGGTTTCATCATACTGGAGCCGCGCCCAACCCATTGCTGGCAACGGTGAAAAAGCTCCGATACATTGCGCGACGTCACGTGACATCGCAAGTTTGACATGTCTGCTAAAGATTAAAGGAGGAGTTCTCTTTCTCTCTCTCTCTCTCTCTCTCTCTCTCTCTCTCTCTCTCTCTCTCTCTCTCTGTGTGTGTGTATGTGTGTGTGTGTGTGTGTGTGTGTGAAACCAGATACCTTAAAAGTCTTCTTTATTTCTGCTGAAGTATTTACAATAGCATTTTCCAAGAAGATAATAACAATAAAGGGAACAACTGTCCTAACTCTATTGTAAAATCAAGAGGAATAGTCTACTAAAGGATTACTTAACTATATTTTGGAGCACTATGATGTTATGGCAACCATTTGCTTTCCTTTTCCAGCTGTAGCACACAAAAATGAAAAAGGAGTTCAACCATGTAATTAAAGTTAAAAAAAAAGAAGTTACCTAGAATACATTGGGATTCATAAATCCAGAATATGCAGAGTTTTGTTTCTGAAAAACCTTTTTATAAGCAGATAAGCCAAGAAACAAAACATGCACCTTTGCAACTCCTCTTTGAGTTGCAAAGGTAATCTTCCTTGATTAAGGGGAAAAAAGTTTTATTTATACAAGCAACTGGTAACATTAAAAAAAAAAAGTCCACTGGGAAAAAGGCCTATCACTGATGATTAGTAATAACAGCTTTAAGTTATCTTTGATATCAAAAGTATGATTTTTCAATACCATTTGTGCAGAACATGCACAAGAGGATATTATTGCAGTTATGTCCTATTTGTTGACTACTAACAGCCATCCATGTTTTCAGAAGTGCCTTTCGTAGAAGGAAAAATTCATCTAAAGACAACATTTCTGCCCAAAGCCACCTTGAGATGGGCGGCAAATGAAATAAATAAATAAAATTTCCATCTGTCCCATTTTGTTCCTGCAGAGGAAAGAGAAAGGTATATCACTGGTTCATGTTGCAAAAAAATGTTTTGTGATTCGCCTGTTTTTTAGACTTTCCATCATTATTTTCCCCAGAATTCTGCATATCATTTGGTTAATCCTGATATAACTACTTTAAGTTCCATAGTGTTAGATTTTTATGAGGCTGTGCCTTCTAAGATGAGTACAGAAACAGTATTTTGTTTCCCTTTGTTAATTCAAGTAAGAATTTGGAATAACATTATATTCAGCTATTTCCCCAGCCTTTCTGTGTTTTTAAATTTTAGGATGATAACATTGAAAGGGATTACTTAGACTATCAATTCCAAAACCCATTTCAGTGTAAGAATCCAAGGCATAATGAAGAATTAACTGAAATACATTATGGAACAAGCGTTTGCTTTGAAGAAATCTCCAGTTTAAATTAACTGCATCATAGAGAACAAAGGACTATACATTAAATCACTTTAACATCTGAAAAGGAAAATGTGTTTTGGAAGACTAATAAGTCTTTATGTTTGGATAGATTCTCACCAGACCATAAAGAGATTGAGCTGAAGCTCTTGAAACTAATGTAGTAATTATCAGGAATTAGCATAGATTTGTTTTTTAAAAAAGGCATTCTCGTACTAATTAATCTTATTATTAACTGAATAATTTCTTCAGTAGATTGTGGGAATCTTTTAGATGTAATTAATATATCTTAATTTTACCAAAACATTTGATAAAATGGCCCATGACATTCTGATTAGCAAAGTGTGGCATAATAATTAAATGGATGTATAACTGGATACAAATGTCCAAGAATGCTCCTCAAGGGTTTCTCCTTCAATGTGCTCCTCGTAGTCCTTGTGCCTGTTTCAGGTTTACTAAAGAGTAAGATGTTTATGAGAAAATTGTGATGAGCCTGCTGTAGTAAGACACAGTTGCTGTCAGGTAAAAGATAGGTTGAAGCTATTGCAGAAGCAACGGGTTTAAATTACAAGAGAGTAGATTTTGATCACACATCAGAGGAAGAATTCTAAGAACTGTTCAACAATGAAACAGATTGTCTTTGGGAGAGGGTGGAGGCTCTTTCTCTGAGAGGATTTGAGCAGAAGGTGAATGGCTATCTGTTGTAGATGCTGTAGTAGTGGAACATGGGTTGGAATAAATGATGTCACAAGCATTTCTATCTCTTATAGTTGATATTCTACTCTATGATACTCTATGATAAGGTGAAACTAGAATTGCTGTAGAATCAAGACCAGAAGAAACTGGCATATTCTTAATGGCTAGATAGGAACATGTCAAAACCAAAGCA